ATATATATATATATATATATATATAGATATATATATATATGTATTTACGATTTTTAGTTTGAAAATGGCATAATTAGGCTAATTAATAAGTAGTATTATTACAATAAAAACAATATTGAGTGCATTTCTACTAATAATAAGATCAGGTTGAACTAACAGGTGAATAAATACTGACCAAAGGACGATGCGGCTGCTTGGGCTGAGACTGCTGATCAATCTCTCTTTGCAGGGCCAGTCGCTTCTCCTGCAGCAAATCGAGCAGAAATGAGAATAATGTTCATTATGATGCACTGAAAACCAATATTTGTATTTAGTATATGCACTACACAGTCGAGTGTGTAGGATTGTTTACTCCTTCAGTTTCATTCTATGCTTAAAAAAAAACCATGAAACTGGGTTAGGTTTTGTAAAGTTGTATTTTACCATTTGTCACATCCTAGAATTGTCTGTCATTCAGATAAACAATGAAAAAATACAACACAATTTCTATAAAAACTTATTAAAAATATAAAAAATATGCTTCCTGTTCCCTTAAGGATCACAGTCTCTTGACTTTAGCTGCTACATGCAGGCCAAACAGTTTACTACTGTTCACTTGTTGCCTAAAAATCTGTGTTGGATGAATTGTTTTGTATAGTTTTGCAAAAAAAGCATGGGCCAAACTGCTTCTGTATTTGTTAGGGCTGCTGAACATATAAACTCATGGAGCGCAATAGCAATGTTGCAAAAGACTGCTTGGACTGCAACGAATCATAAGCTATAATATTTCAAGTACCATAATGACAATAATATATTTAGTCGATCCAACAGACTCTGGGTTTGATGTTCATACTTGGTTTTGATGAAAGTGAAAGAAGAGAAAGTGAGGAAACGTGGGTTTATTGCAACTAATGCAGTTTGTCTCTGTGCATTCCTGGTCAAATTTAGAGTCCACCAACTTTTCCTGGTCTGAACACATAACATCAGACTCAATAGGACATACAAGTCGAAATTGGACAAGAAGTGTTTGTTACTTATTTGTGATCGTCAACTTATTTATTAACCTTTATTTAACCAGGCAAACCCCAGTGAGATCACAGATCTCTTTTCAAGGGAGGCCTGGAGGCAACATGCACGTTTCTGACCTGTGGGAGGAAACCGGAGTACCTGGAGAAAGCCCACACAGGCACGGGAAGAACATGCAAACTGCACACAGAAAGACCCCAGGTCCAACCGGGGATTGAACCCAGGACCTTCTTGCTGTGAGGCAACAGCGCTAACCACTGAGCCGCCGTGCTGCCATACAACGCTGTCAACTTTAGGAAAACAAGCGACCGCAACATTATTCTTCTATATTGCAATGACAATATGAGTTGCCAGAAATAATGTTCACAACGCTCTCTATTATTTTATTAAGTTTTTTTTTAGGGGGGGGGGGGGGGGGGATTTTAGTGCATGTTTTTAAGCAATTGCACAGACCCATGTCAAGATTTTCTGCTTTTGAGAGCCTTCATGGGACATTTGTTACCAACACAATCTCCACATGAATTACTTTCTTGGCTATTTATAAGATGTTTGTCAAACGCTGGCTCTGTGACAGAGGAAGCACGATACAAACACTAGACCAGGGGTCTGCAACCTGCGGCTCTGGAGCCACATGCGGCTCTTTCAAACGTTGACCAAAACTGACACAAAAGTGAAATTTATCAGTAAAAAGGCAAAAAAGGATTAGTTCAGAAAGTTTTCCTGTCATTTCTTTTGTCAGTATGTGAACACTGCAACGAGTACAAGGAGTAAAACTTACTTTAACTTTATGCTTTTTTTCTTAATATGAGGAACTGTCTCCATCCATCCATCCATTATCTTTACCCGCTTCTTCCTTTTTGGGTCACAGGGGTCACTGGTGCCCATGTCCAGCTATCATTGTGCAAGAGGCGAGGGACACCCTGGACAGGTCTCCAGTCCATCACAGGGGCACAAAGAGACAAACGAGACAAACAACCATTCACTCTCTCACTCACACCTAGGGACAATTTAGAGTTACCAATCAGTCTAACATGCATGTTTTTGGTCTGTGGGAGGAAACCGGAGTACCTGGAGAAAACCCACACATGCACGGAGAGAACATGCAAACTCCACCCAGAAAAGCCAGGATTTGATCCTGGGTGACCAGCTGAGAGGCGGAAGCTCTACCAACTGCGACACTCTGCAGCATTGTCTGCATACCTTTAGATATCTTTAATTTAAAAAAAAAAAAGGTAAAATCTGATCCACCCCCCCTCTTTACCATAATTTGGTCTTTTTCTTTAATAAATGTTAAAATCAGGTCTCTCTTGTAAATGAGTCCTCAAGGCTCAATGGGATTTACCTGTCTAAATAAAGATTGAATGAAAAAAAAATGATTAGATTTTTTTGGGGGGCGGCTGTGGCTGAGTGGTTAGAGCAGTCGTCCTCCATTGCAAGAGTTGGGGGTTCGAATCCACATGCCGAAGTGTCCCTGGGCAAGACACTGAACCCCTCATAGCCTCTGATGTGTGTCCCATCGGTGTATGAATGTGATAAAGCTGTCTCTTTAGAATGATTTGTTCAATTAGCTTTGTAGAGATCTAGTAGAGTGCTGTGTGAATGGGTAAATGAGGACACAGATTGTAATGTAAAACGCTTTGAGTATCTTGCTTTTGCAATATAATGTCACCCCTACTGGCCACAAAAACCCCTCCAGCAAACCTGAAGTGGCTCAAGGGCCAACAGTTTATAACCACAGTTGTAGCAGGTTGTTGTGGCTCCAGACACGTTTATTGTAGTGAACAAAAGTGTAAAAATGGCTCTTTGGACCGTAAAGGTTGGAAAAAATAAAACTGCATTCAACTATCAGACTGTTTGGCAAGCTGAGCACATTATTATAAATAAAAAAACAAATGTTTGAAGAAACAAATCTTTACCTGGTCAATTGTTATCTCTGCAGGTTTGGGAACAGACCTTTCAGAAATAAAAATTACTTCATCTTCGGAATCCGTCTGAAAAGGTGAACACACGATCATGTTTTCAGCTAATTTAACACATTATTGTTTTATTTGACAGGAAACATGTTGGTTATATATGTGCTATTCGCAAACATTGTTTTATTAATACGTTACTATGTTCAAAGTTCAGGAGACGAGACAAGAACTGATTGATTCATACAATCAGCTGCAGAGTGAACTGACTCTTTGGTTACTTAGCTATGCTAGCAGCTAGCAAACCGCGGCTAAGCAGCGACTAAACCGTCAAACAATAAAATAATATACAACAGTGAGCCCGACAAGTCAGACTATAAGAACCAAAGTTACAGATTGTCTTACAAAATATTAATTGTATAGGCGGTTTTCCTACTTTGCACACTTTGTTGATTCACGTGGACGAGCGTTATCACTTTTCACCCGGAAGTAGTTTTTTCGTTTTCCTTTAGCAACGAGCAGGGGCGTCCTTAGCAACGAGCATGCGCAGTCAGGTTGTTCTTTTATTTCGAACAGAGGCGTTTATAGAATTTTTAAAAACCGGAAGAACAGCCATTATCTTCAAGTTATCTTAAATTTAAAATTTGTACAAGATGTGTTTCTCCTAATGTTAAATATATATGTGAGATTATTCAAAATAACTGCAACAGCATTACAAAACTGTTGCGTTATTTAATTCATTTCAATTCAAAAATACTTTATTAATCCAAGAGGGAAATTAAGTGTTGTCGTAGCTCATCATCCTGGTTTTATTCAAGAGTTGTTAGATGCTGATTGCTGTGGGAAGGAAGGATCTCCTGCAGCAAATACGAAGAATCTGGCCACAGATACCGATCTGTCCACCCAGATCCAGCTTGCTGTCAGATCCGGCTGGCCTCTTGGCCTGGGCAGCAGAGCAGCCCGAATGCCCTCCAGAACTCCTCCCAGAGCAATGGCCACTCCTCCCAGCAGTCTGCCGAGCTCCTCATCGCTGCAGACATCCAACTGTAGGTGCTGAGGGACGATCCTGTCCTTCCACTGTCATGAGCCGTGTTTCCTGCTAGTTCCAGGATCTCAGTGGTCAGGCACTTGAGCGCAGCTAGCAGGTAGATGAGAATGCGTCCACAGAACATCCTTTTCAACTCATTTGAGATTTGGGGCTGTAGTTGAGATATTATTTGAGCTTTTGAGATGTTTATCAGCTGCTGTTGGTTGTAGAAAACTGCCTTGTTGCCATGGTTACGCATCATAACAAATGTCCAAAACTAAAAAAAGTTTCAGTAAAAATCCTTCCAGCTGCACAGCATCTGATACCAGAGGAAACGATCATCCAAAAAAATGTGATTTACATCCAGAAAAAGAGGAATTAAAGTTTCTAAAAGCAAAATCTCAGAATGAAAGTAACAGAGCTGCTCCAACATGCAGCCACCTTGAGCGGCGCAATTCTAGAACGAAGTGTGTTATATACAGTAGGTGATGTTTGGTGATTATTTTCTGCTCTTTGATTTGTGGGATGTTTCTTGTTCTTACCTGCCTTAGGACAACGGATGAAAATTAGCTGTGGTTCTAACTCCATCATATTTACGTTGATGCTTACTGCCGATATGTTGATTAATATGCATTGTCCTAATTAAATAAATAAATTAAATTAAACTAAATTAAGACTTACTTGCTAAAAATAACCATGACTGTCAGTTTTATAGATTTTTATTATATTGTGTCTGCTCCTGTTGTCAGGGATCGCCACAGCAAGCCAACTCACACTAAGATCTGGCAGTGTTTTTACACCAGATGTCCTTCACAACCACAGATCACCAAGCCACCACAACGCTCTGTGTGGAGCAGAGAGCTGCTATCTTGGGTGCCCAGGGAGCAGCTGGCATTAAGGGCCTTGCTCAAGGGCCCAGAGTGGGGCAAAGGAGGGTGGAGGCAGGGTGCTTCACCTTTCCCACCCACTATTGATGTTGTTGGATTTGAGCCAGTGACTATTTGGAGGGAACTCTCTCATTTAGCAAAAAAAATCTAATCAATCACTGAACAGGTTTTAATAAAACATTCAAGATGGCTGCCACAGCTAACTGACTTTAGTAATAGTCAGAGTCAGAGATTCTTTATTGTCATTCGCACCTCATGTGGTACATGTGGTGGAGCAAAATTATGTACACAGGGTCCCAGTTACATCCAACAATAAAATGTAAAAGAAAAACAATGATAACATCTAAGATATGAACTAAGAACAACATCAACTAAATATACACTGAGCACTAATAGCATAAAGAAACATTACGTTGAACATCAACACAAACATGAACATGAGTCTGTGAGCAGATGAGCACGCATGAACACATCAACATTGAAACAGATCAGCAGCAACATTGAAACAGATCAGCAGCAGCATTGAAAGAGATCAGCAGCAACATGAAACAGTTCAGCAGCAACATGATGTGATTTTTTTCACAGTGATTATTCTGGTTAGAGATTCATGAGTCTAACAACCTCAGGGTAGAAGCTGTTACTCAGTCTAGTGGTTCTACACTTAATGCTCCTCAACCTCCTTCCTGAGGGGAGCGGGGCAAAAAGTGTGTGTGCTGGGTGAGTGGGGTCCTTCATGATGCAGGTGGCCCTCTTCCTGCATCTGGAGGTGTAGATATCTGTGATGGTGGGGAGGCTGACTCCAACAGACTTCTGTGCAGCCTTCACCACTCTCTGCAAAGCTTTTCTTTCTGCAGCTGTGCAGCCTCCATGCTACACGTTGATGTTGGAGCACAGGATGCTCTCCACTGCACACCTGTAGAAGGAGGTGAGGACTGAGCTTCCCAGACCAGCTCGCCTCAGCCGACTGAGGGAGTAGAGTCTCTGATGAACTTTCTTGATCAGGTTAGTGGTCTTGTTGCTCCAGCTGAGGTTGTCATTCATGTGTACACCCATGTACTTGTAGCTGGAGACCACTTCCACTGCAGATCCATTATGTTCAGGGGGGTGTAGATGTTTTTGTTCCTTCTGAAGTCCACAATCATCTCCTTTGTCTTCTTCACGTTGATGTGAAGGTTATTCTCTTTGCACCAGCTCACCAGGTGTTCCACCTCCACCGTGTTCCAACTTGCCTTCTTGTGCTTTGTTGTTCATATTCAGTCCTTTCGCTCAGGATATTTAGTCCTTGTGACAACCAGATGCGACCCGATTTTATGTGTTAAAGGTTTGAGTTGGTGTGCTGGGGCTCAGTTCTGGTCTTTACTTGTTTTCATTTTAAGCTGATGGCGTGGTATTTAGATGAGATTGTTTCATGACACCCAGTTCAACAAAATTACACATCTCTGAGGTCTAATTTCAATTTAATTTCACATTTATTTTTTTTAAAACTGTTCCAGAAGTTTGAATTTAGTTAGAGTCAACTTAAAGCCTTATTAGATACTTATCTAGCTTAAATTTTGAGTCATGTTTTTTGAGTCTGTTGGAGCTAGACATGTATTGGAGATGACTAAGCACAAATGTTCTATAAAATGTATGTGTGATGAAATGCTGCATATAATCCAGTTTATCATGGCTTAAACCTTTTGTTTTTGTCTGGGTTCCTCTGTCATCATCTCAGCTTCATTCAGCCACAGACCTTTAGTCACCTGCAGCCCTGCAGATTTTCACACAGCTTTTAATAGCTTTAAATTCAGCCAGTATGCCTTTTACATAACTTGTTTTTTTCCACATCATATCATTTTAAACTGGGCTTTAACTTGCAGATTGGTCTAAAATAACTTCTCCATGTGGGTTGCCTTCAACCTCAGCTTCCAGAACCAACTGTTATCTCATTTTCCATCTTTAGCCTCCAGCAACTCCTGCAGGGTAATGACTCACGTAAATAAATAGAAGGGTTACTTTTAAAACACTCCCACGTGCAAGGAGGAATTTGGCTATTTTGGACATTTTGAGCCATGATGTAATTTGGCTCAAAGCTCAGCATGGCTCACAGTTTCTAGATTGGCTGAGAATGCACTTTGAACTAATAACCTGAAATATTGGTCTAATTCTTAGACGTTTTAAAAGTCCAGCTTTATTTTTTCTCTCGGTTGAAAGCAAAAATGTATTTACTTGTGTCTGTATGTGTGTGCATTTGTGCATGCTCATGTGTCTGTAGCATTGGCATAATATCTCACAAAGTACACTTTAGATGTTTAAATGAAACTCTCAGAATCTAATCATCAAGCTGATTAACTTTTGGATTCAGCCCCATTCAAGATGGCTGCCACAGTGAATTTAGCAAACACATAAATGTCAGTAACTCAAGCATTTTTACAGAAACTGTGCTACAATTTGGCGCTGTAATAACTGAGAGTCCCAAAACGTAGTCTGAGCTCTACACTTTGTGCAACACCTTCCTTGGCTAAATGTTTTGTCATTAACTTTTAAAGTGAACACTTGACTGTTAGCAAAATATCTCGTGAACCACTAGACAGATTTTAGTGAAACTCTCAAAGAAAAACCATTGTTTGAACATTTAAACCTCTTTGATATTTGAAGTCAATCCGATTCAAGATGGCCACCACAGCTAACTGACCTCTGTCAACACATAAAGGCTATAACTCAATCAGTTTTACCAACACTGAGCTCAAATTAGTTGTGGTAGTAGGTCATCCCCAACACATATTTTGAGAACTAACACATCTTGCAAGATATCACAATACTGCGTGAGGGTTTGCAAAACTCAGTGGCTCCTAACCTGGTCCCTGAGGAACACCATCCTGCATGTTTTGTTGTTCCTTTGCTCCAGCACACCTGATTTGAATGAACGTTTGATTAACAGGCTTCTGCTGAACTTCAGGAAGTTATTAAAGCACTGAACAAGGTGTGTTGGAGCAGAGAAACAACTTAAACATACAGGATGGTGTTCCTCAAGGACCAGTGTTGGGAACCACTAGTTTATAAGGTCCAACCAAAACAGCATTAACTCTGTTCCTTCTCAACACAAGATGATCTTAGTTTAAAACGTTGACATGAAAGGCAACAGGTGACATACAATCATTCCTTTATTTGTAACAGTTATAGAATGATACTATATATAAACAAACATTTGGTCAAATGCCGGCCCCTTTTTAAAGCCATCTTCTCATAAAACTTCTTATATGGTGATTTTTTTATTATTATTTAGAAAAGAAAAATGTGTAGAAACTGTTTTTTTTCCCTGTAGTATTTTTTTTTTCTCAATTGTTTTGTTTGAATAAACACAACCATTCCAGGTAATGGATAAATAATTACTGCAGCAGATTTTAAAGCTGCATCATGAAAACTTGCAGAACCAAACTGTGAAGTCAACAAAACCAGACGTTTGACAGAAACTGTGCACAGATGTATTTGACAATTTGTGCAAGTCACGTTACAAACATTCAGGTCACGCTGCCATCAAACAGTGACAGTTGTCGAAAGCATCCTAAAGTGCTTTTTTCACATTCTTAACAATTTAAAAGACAGTTACACAAGGTTTTTACACAATTATCCCATATTTTTATTGTACAATATAAAAACAAACACCTGAACGCACAGACATTATTGATAATTCAGTTATTTAGTTTATAGGAATATACACAACAATGCAGTAACTAAATTAGCTGTCCTGTGTTGAGTCATCTGTTGCCACGGTGACGGAAATAAGTAAAATTATACAGATGAATAGGAGGAGACTTTTCAAACAGTGGTTTAAACAGCTGTCTTCAACTTGAGTTAAAAGTATAAGTTTATAGAAAAACACATATAAAATGTTTGCAGTTCACATTTTAGGGTGACCAAATGCTTTCTTTTAATATTTCCAGCAATCAAAGCATAAATAAATTAGAAATGCTAAAAGTGGAAATAGTAAAAGTAAGGAAACCCGAGAGCACATTACATGGATGGATTTTATACAGAAGATGAGGGCTAACATCTCTGAACTCTGAAAACCAAAAGGACAGCCATGGCTCTAATCCTCGCTCGTATCTTTAAGTCTCACATGTTCAATAATTTGGTTTAAAGGAGATGACAAAGAACCTGAAAATAGCTTGTCTCCTCCGATGTTTCAGGCACTTCTGAGGGATCGTCTAACACTCCAGCTGTGTAAGTGGTGCACGTTTAAAGCTAAAATGTTCAAGGAGGTCCAAGAAGCTACTAGAAATGTTCTCATTTGATTGTTTTTCAATGAAAATTAATGATAGCTTTAAAAGGGACAGTCTGGTCATTTTTGAAGTAATGTTCTGACAAATAAATATAGTACTTTATCAGTGATAACATCCATCATCGAGTACGGAGAAAAAGGACATATATAGAAGTCCCTCGCTATATTCACGATTTGTTTATCGCGGACTCCCTCTATCGTGGTTTTTCAAAATAAGAGTGGACATGACACGCAATTGGCTGATTGATGGATGAGCCGCACCATCGGCATGGAATTTTAAAAAAAAATAAATTATTTGAAATTATTTAGCACCTGATGCACCTTTGTGCAGCCCACACTGCAGGATAAACTTCCTGCTGCAGCTGATCAGCTGTTCTCCATGCAGCGCAGAGAAGTGGGCGTGGCCAAGAGCGATCAGGGAGCTGAAGTCATGACGTTCTGTGCTCTTTTAGAGCGTTTAGAGTTTAGAAACATTGTTTAGAATATTGCAAGAGTGTGGGAAGGGTTTAAAACACCTAAATATATATTTATACATTTTTTCAAAACCTTTATTTTACCAGAATAAAAAACCCATTGAGATTAAAAACCTCTTTTTCAAGAAAGACCTGCAAATATATATATATAAATTATATA